TCCATCATCTAAAAGTACATTTCTTTGAAAAAGGTGTCTGTGTGAAATTTCCGCCGATGACGACCTTGTATCATCTAGTTCAGGGGTCTTCAACGTTTTTCAGGCCAAGGACCCCCAAACTGGAGCAGGGACCCCCGACTATATATATTGTATAAAATTGTGTTTTATATTAAATGGGCCTAGTGCCATGTATAAACATACCTCTTTATTGTGCATTCAATACTAAGCTATTCAAATAATACACAGGTTCATATATTCATGTTTTTAATTTAAACATGTGCAAGGTACAGTGAGTAGGGACGTCGTGCCACTGCCATTTAGAAACATACCTTGTGAGCTGATACCAATGCTAATATCAACATTGTCTGTCAATTGCATGATAATCATGCACACAAGCTATTCAAATTGACGTTTTCATTTTAAACATAAATGTGGAAACGAAAATGAGTGATTAGTGCCACTGCCATGCATAAACATACCTGTTATCTTGCATACAATACTGAACTATTACAATAATAGACACATTCATGTTTAGAAAAAAAAAAAATTGTAATTGTCTAATCAACCTAAAATTTCGCGGAAACCCTGCAGTACCTCCGCAGACCCCCTAGGGGTCGCGGACCCCCTGTTGAAGACCTCTGATCTAGTTTATTAATAAAGACATATCTTGATATTAACATTGCTTTAAGGAGAAGGGCAGATACAAGCAAATTTGAATTAAATAAAAAATTCTGCACTTTTTTTCGCCAGTGGGGTGAGTCAACATATTGATCAATTTCATCACGCCTTGCTGTATTTTGTGGTATAAAGTAAGTTTTCTTATGATCATCATCATCAATCATGAATGTTGTGTGTTCTATGTTTTTAGTGTATAGCTTTCTATGATGATTTTAATGTTGGTAAAGTGAAAAGCTCTCTATAAATAAAATGTATTATTATTATTATTATCAAAATTATGAAAAATATATACATTTTCCAATTATATGTTCGACAACCGTAACATAATCTTGGGTAACAATGGCTGGAGTCGCTTGAGTGTAAACGTCCCCAAATGGAGCACAGAGCAGGACAGAGCTGCTGTGAAGACACACATTAACATCTATGCCAGGTAAATCCAGCTTTGTGTGCAGTTATGAGGGACAGGAGGCAACAAGCTCAGAGCAACATCTTTATAGTGAACATATAATTATAGGTGGTAACACTTAAAGACTGGATGAATAAAGAACTGGGAAAACCTGTCTCCTGTAATTTAAGGCAGAATAACAGTGCCCTGCAGATTTACATTTTAATGACTCAGCTTTCCATAATAAGAACGGAGGTGTTCGGTGTTTGTGGCACAAGCATTTGACAGCTCTCAATGGTTGTGCTCCAGCAACTTCATGTACAACTGAACGTGGACAAGCCTTCTTTTTGTCCGACGTCATCAAACAATGAAAGCCATGGCTTTGAAAATGAGTCTCTTCACATCTTTCAGAGTTGAAACACATTAAGCACCAATTTAAAGTACAGCTACAAAGACAGAGTTGAGCCAGCAAACTAAGCATAACTGCTATTAACAACCTACAGTCCTCTGCTGGCTTCAAATGTTGAAAAATACCAATGATTCAGGAAAGATGTGGAGGCATTGTAAGGTTTAAATGAAGTTTCTAACTGACTACATAAATAAATAGAGAAGTCCTTTCTTTACAAATTCAAAGAGACAAGATCACATTACTCATATCTTGCCTTTTTTGATTGTCAGTTTTAGGGTTGATTGATTTTTATATTTTTCTGAACATGTAATGGGAATTGCTGCTCCTCTACATACCAACACACTGTTGCCTCAGAGGCAGGACTCTCTGGCTGCTCCTAAATCCTGGATCGAGACCACAGTCGACCAGGGTCTCAGCTGTCAGGGCCTCTCAGCTCTGGAGCTCCCTGCTTGAAGATCTGAGGTTTGCTGAGTATTTTAAATCATTCCTCAAAACCTCTTAAATACACCTTTTATTTACATTAACTGCATGTTTTATTGGTTTCCTCTCTATAGTGTCTCATCCATTTTGTTTACAGAAAATAAACCTAAGAGCCCAAAATGATCAGAATCCTAACACGTTAATTCACTGTTCAAGGATGTTAACAGAGAGGATAGAGCTGAAACAAGTGGTTTAATAACCACACATAAAGTCCATGCTCACTGATTTATCTCGTTAGAAGATGAGAAAAATATAATATTGTGTCTTTTTTGATTGACATCACTTCACACCTGAATGAACTGAATTTAAAGCTGCAGGACAATTCAGTGAAATTCATTTTTCAAAAATGAATCACTTTATTTTAAGATGCACATTTTTGAAAAGCGTTCTGTTATGTCAGTTATTCTTTATTCCAGCCCTTATTGTACTTGAAATGAGAAGAACATTTATGTATTATTTATAATCCATCCAGTTAAATTTGAAAACAGAATAATAATTTGTTAAAATATAATTGATGTGTATTTTCTTTATTTGATTTGTTGTAGTTGTTGACTACACAGAGACGTTACTACTACTAGGCTTCTTGAATATATTTATATATATATGGCACTAAATAGCGCGAGTTAGATATTATTGTAATGTTTCGGACGTTTGCCCGAGGAGATTTTCTCAATCTGGACCTTTTGGAATTTTAGTTGCATACCCCTGATCTATGGTATCGTGCTCTGTGCCTATCGAAGCAAGCTAGTTAGCCGTGCGTGCTAATGGAGGGGTTTAGCAAACGGTCAGTTGAGGAAGACACTGCAGCAGAGAGCGATCCAATGACGAAGCACACATTTGTAATATGGAAATCCACTAAAAGAAAAATCCATTTTCCCTCAACTCTCTTGACTGCTGAGCAAACACGACTAGGTAACAGTGACAGCAGACAGCAACGAGCGAAAAGGAAACACCCCCGCAGAAACTGCTGAGCCGTTGTTCCAACTCGACTGGAAGGGAATTAAAGCGACGGACACTACTCGCATACACGGTTCACTGCAAACTAGAGGAAACATTTCGAAGGCAGCTCTTTGTGCCCTCGCTTTAACTCAAGTGAGACCCAATATTAGGCCGCACAGTTAGAGGTACATGAATGATGAATGATAATAAGTCATTAAAGATTAACTATCAAACCGATCACCTCTTAGTCCCCGGTGTCTGGTCTGACCCGGACTCTAATTAGCATCATTATAATCATGTAATGGCGATGATAAACCTGCTGTTGTAGATTTAGATCTAAACACGGCAGACGAAAGACGGATAATGCAGAAAAATAAGGTGGAGTGCAAGCAGAATATGAGTTTGCCCGAAGACAATAGTGTTGCATTAAACAGCACTCTAATATTTGTTCTGGGATCCAAATCTTAATGGCTGGTGAACAAGAATAATGAGGTTTATTTCTCATGGGACACATGCACAATGACTTTGGTAGCTGTCTGGTAAATGTAGTCTTAGTATTTCTGCCGAGGCCAAAAAACAAAACAAAAGCAAATACACATCAGAAAATCCCGACTGGGTGATATTCTTTCATCCAAGACACGTTATTCCTTCCCTGGATATATTCTAACGTGTGGTATAAAGTCTGGCTACTATGTTTTGTGGAACCCGTTCTCCACATAGCAACAATTACCAGAAAAGGGCATGTTAAACATGAAGCATCATGCCAATGCAAAAATGCTTTTTACTGGGTGGGCCATGTCTCATGAATGCTTAAACAAGTCTATACAAAATAATGCCAATAACTCCAGAAAGGATCCACAGCACTTCAGGGACGATGACGAGCAGTGCAGCCGCTCCAACCGTCCCCAACCTGGAGCACCACTGTAAAGGTGACGTCATCTTGAACCCTGCAGGTGTCGTGAAAAGAAGCCTTTGAAAAAAATACCATTAGGGATGGAAGACCAACACCCGTTTTTCACTGGCCTCCAGGATTCCTCTCTCTGTTTGACGAGGTTGATATTAAGCTAGGACCAAATAGAAAGCTAGGGAGATGACATTTAGAGAAGCAGTTAGTGGCAGGAGGCTTCCTCTCTTACTGTCAGTTGATACAATTCCAAGCTGTCTGTTTCTTCCACCTAGTGGTGCAAACATCCCCCCTGCTCAACACCAACATCCTTAAATCTGAGTGCACATCAAGTCAAGCTGGTTTGATCAACTAAGAACTACTACTATTGCATTGCTCAGAGTATCTGGCTTGTATCGTTCTGCAGTAGGCTACAAGAACAATGCTGCTCAATTATTTCCATGTCTACATAGATCAGCAACTGGAGGGGATGCTGTTTTTTTTTTGCCAAGGAAATGGCAGCTTTTAACATCAGTGTTAAAGCCCATCCAACACCTCATTTACAAGATTCTCATTTTAAAAATGAGATAGCTGTAAAGTCAGCTGGGGACAGGGTTCCAACCAACCCATGGAGCTAGCGTTATGGGAATCCTGCTTTTGTTAAATCTTGTAAACCGCATTATAGGCCGAGGGAGAACGGAAAGCTCGACAGGCGTAGCACAACTAACGGTGCCGGGGCTCAGTGAACGGTCTTTGCATCCTCCTGCTCTTTCAATCCTACTCCAAACCATGGTTTTCACTTCAAGAAGCCTTCATCTGATGAAGGTCTGCAGCCCGAGCGTCACTTTGTTGTTCCAACTTCAATTGGAACAACACAGTGATGCTCACTGGGGACTGAAGTTCATTTGCAACCAATCCCTCGCTGCAAAACCTGCTGAAATGCTTTGTGATCATCTAAGGATGTATGAAACACTGAAAGCATCGCCACACTCATCACAACATGGTGTTAACAGCTGTTTCCTGGAGACTGCAGCTTGTTTTTTGTAAGAAAAAATATTCTGTGTGACAGACGATGAAGAGAGGAGATTCTTTAGGCAAAGACGCTGACCATGGAGTCATGAATCTGGTTATTACCACAGAGGGAATAGAAATGCTCACTCCAATTTTTTTTCTCTCTATAGGAGCACTCCATCCATGCGCTGCGTTTGAAGAGGGTTTTGATGTTGTCGGCTTCATCTATTATGGATCCGGTGACATTTTTCTGATGACAGCCCCCGATACGCCTCTCAAGAGGCTGGCATGGAGATAGGCACATGGAAATAGACGCCTGTATGCTCCTCTCTGTTATTATCGCTGCTGTTTTTTCTTCTCCACTTTTTCCCCTCACAAGAAGGTGCTGGAGTCAGACAGGAGGAAAGAAAAAAAAAAAGAGTGCACAGGACATATGGAATCAGACAGCAAGTCAAAATAGTTTATTGTAGAACAGGATTCATAGTCGAGGCACTACCTCACATTTAGTATAGGCACTGAACTACTGCACTGGAGTCATAGCCACGACGCGGTCTGAAGACCGAAGCCTGCCCGCCACGTTGACGCTGGCTACAGTTTGTCATCACCCTGACTGACCCCCGGCCAATCGAGAGTCTGAAATATTACATAAATGCTAAATGAAGTGATCTGACATGGATCTATACGCACCAAAGCATGTAACCATACTAAATGCTGCTAAGGAGATGTGAGGCTTTCTTTTTTGTATTTGCTTCAAGGTGGTAAACAGGGCCTTATTATCATTGTTATTATCTTATGAAGCAGAGGTGGAAGTAACAGGTTCATTTATTTGTACTTTTTTTGGAGTACTTTAAAAACCTTTTGTAACTTCTAGTATTTAAGAATTTTGTTTAACTCTAGAATTTTTTATCTCAAGTATTGTACTTCGCTACATTTCAAGTCGCATCCGCTACAGAGCGCGGACAAAAGTAACACGAAAATGCAAATGAGCAGTGAAGAAGCTGCTGGTGTCTGCGGCCTCAGGAGGGCTCCACCAGCAGAGAGGTGACACTCTGAACACGCAGCATGTTCTAGATGTAAACGTTGTTATAGTTATATAGTTATAGTTAATGTTAGCGAAGTCCCGCTCCTTTCTGTGTCCACTTTGTGACCTTATTTTTGAAAAAAAAAGTACAGTAATGAACGGGGAAAGACAAATGACTTTTTGATCTTGTTTGAATTGTGCCATGAATTACACGTTTGTCAATTAAAGAGATCATTTTGCAAGTCAACAAAGTCTCAAGTTGACATAGATTTGACGTAGGATCATTTAGTTGTGTGGGAAACCGAACTACATCTCCTGTCTCGCACAATGTACGTCACCGACACGGCTGTTACATTCCTTGCTAGCTAGCTAGGTAGCTTAGCGGTGTTCCATGCACAAATGTACCGTTGTCTTACCTGATGTGTTTTTATCCAGCAACTCTTTTTATCCGGGAAGCGAGGGAACGAGTGAGACCATGTTGTTCATGTGTTGAATGCATCCTGGTACGAAGCACACGGGCGCGGTAGCTTCATCGAGACATGACGCTAACGCAACGTTTGGGTGTGCAGTCTTCTAATTATATATTTTCACAGTCTGGTACTTTGACAGTTTATCGTCAAAATGCATCTTTCTTGACGTGCAAAATGATGTTTTAGATTGACAAACATCATTTGTGTGATTCATGGCACAATTCAAACGGGATCTAATAATCATTTGTCTCTCGTCATTGACAACCATACATATGTTTTCAAAAATAAGGTCAACAGGAAGGGGCGGGACTTCGCCTCTCTACAGGTTTACTGCAGCTAGCCTACCTTAATTACTCTGATTTACTACACCACCTAGCAGGGACCGAAATCAAACACACCCACATGTTGCGTGACCAACAGGTGCATGCTGGGTCTGGCAAAACAGAGGAGGGAGGATGGTTCTGTTACTAGTTCTATCATACAACATTATCATCGTCATATACCTGCCCTTGATGAAACTTTAACCAAACATTTAACCCTTGTTATCATTTTGAAAACCCAATGATTGGTATCACTGGCGTAACAATGTGACTGGCAGGCTTCGGTGAGGGGAGGCGGCCTTTCATTGTGTACATTACATCACCCAAACACATCCTGAAACTAATGCAGTCTCGCCTTTTCCTGGACTTTTGTAATACATCATGATACATTGCTTGTTCTCTTCTGCGTATGTCATCTCAACCAACAGTTTAAGAACACACTACAGTCTCACATTGATCAACTACAACAACAACCACAGCATAATAGTATTGTGATTTCTATTGTTATCATGATAAAAGTTATAATAACAAAAGCATCGCCATTGCTTCTTCTGTTTAATTAGCGATGCCTAACCATTAAATGACCAGCTGGGGTCAGATCTGTCCACACAAGTAAAGAAATACTATTTTGCTACTTCCCTACTAAAGCTAGTATGACACTAGTATTTGAAACTTGTACCATTGTTTCTAGTTTGCCTTGGTTTCTCATTCACCCACCTACGGTATATGTATGACCCCCGTCAAAGTCAGCAAATTCACAAAATGTGTGTTGATGAAAAAAAGAAAAGAAGAACACCACTCTCATGTCTGTGTGTATGAAGCTAGAGTCGGGAGACAGTTAGCTTAGCATAAAGACTGGAAGCGGGGGGGAAATTGCTAGCCTGGCTCTCTTAAAAGTCTCTTCGAAGATCTGCCGACCAGGTCCTCTAAATGAATCTATTGTAACTCTTTAATCCATACAGGCCCAGACATGCACAAACAAGAGTTTGTGGTTTAAGGGGGCGTTAACAATTACTTAGCAAACGACAGCCAGGCGGACGGATAAAGTGTTGAAAGAATAGTTACAGCAGGTAACGTCCTCTAAAACCACAAATTGTGCTTATGACACTTCTGTTTGTGTACAAAGTTGTCCCTGCTTCCAGGCGTTATGCTAAGCTAAGCTAGCTCCATACTAATGGCCCAGTTTGTTACAGCCGCTTGTTATATCTCGACCCCGAGCCAAAACGTTTGCTCAGGCTGTAGAAAGCACGATCCTAAGCCACGGAGGACGTTACACAACTGCTCTCACCAGCTAAGTAGTGCTCAGCATGAGAAGTTAACTGGTCTTCATGTGTGAAGTTGGTGGAGTGTCCCTTTAATAAATGTTTAGAGATGAATGTTCTAGCGATATTGCTGTGGAACAACTGAAGCAGAATTGTATTTGTCTCGTTGGACATGATCTCAGTGCGATAAACAATTGTGTAAAACTGTATGTATACTTATGTTGTTTTAGTTTTTTATACTCATGCTACAATGTTTGAAAATATATATGTTCTCAGTAAACTGGGGTCATATCTGGCTCGTCATTGTTCGTGATTTACTGTAAGTGCATAGTTTGAAGTTACTATGTGTGGGTCTATTTGACTGCAAGTGTTTCTACAACCAAATGTTTACAGTCATATGGCTACAATACAAAGTGTAAAGCATTATAACACAAATAAGGATATATCTAACTTTTTAGTATTTCACACACACACAGCATCACACTCTGTCTGAGTGAATCAGACACACACACACACACACACACACACATCACATGCTGTCTGAGTCCAGCCTTCCTTACGCTCAGTTTTCTGTCTTTCTTATCACCTTGAGTGACATTTTAGTACATTTCATCAAGTTCAGTAAAAACCTCCCAAATCACATTTTGCACATACAGTACAGAGCACATGGCAATACTGATCCACTGAGACCACAAAGCAGTTTACCAGCTGTTCTACCATGTCAATCCCTGTTAAGGAAACAGCACAGCGAGAGGGATTAGAACAGGAGAGGGATTCTGGGTTTGTGTTTGTCAAAATGTCTGTACAACCTAGTTTCACTTCGACACTTGTCAGTTTTAATGACGGCCGGTTCTCAAGCCGCGTGGGTTTTTTGAGATCGTGCTCATTTGAAGCATCTTAAAATATAATCAATCTGTGTTGACATTAATTAGTCTTTTTATTTTGCTGATGACCATTTAGGTGTGAAAACTCAGAAGGTTATAAATCACACAACAGATAAGAATACAAAAAAAACATCCAAATAAATCTCTGTTGTCTTTGTTGTCACACTAAATATAACCTCATGTACGCTTTTCTACTCAATAACCATACATTAGATAATTCTCACCCCAAGTATGATACACACTGTGCTCTGACGCGTCTTATCTCAGCAACATGGTGAAAATAAACAGATGTCTCTATATAATTCTATTAAAAATATATTTGCAGCAACATCCACCCAAGCGAAGCTTTGCAAGAAGGCCCGACTAGTGACAAACACTTTGGGGAACCCAGCTCCGATCTGGACGACGCCACGACACAGGTGTCACCTCACAACCTCAATCCACGACACCAACAACTGGACGGCAAAAATAATGAACAAACATGAACAATTAACACACACAAGAAGATACAATTACACCTAATCCTGGTATCCCAATCAATAATAATCAAGGGGAGGTTTGATATATTCTTCAACTACAGGCCCGAATAGGAAACAGAACACATGGGTATGCTAATGTGAGGGGAACACGTGTATGCTACCTGCAGGGGTTGACACTGTTCCCTGTTGCCCAGGAAACTGTGTTAAGTTTGCCTGCACAGAGAAAAAATAAAAAACTGGAGAGGCTTTCAATTGTCAAATATAAGACACAGCTCTGCATTGAATTCATAAAACTGAAAACAGTGTAAGTTCAGCATCCTCCACCCCCGGCACTGCACTGTGCTGTATGCACCCCCGTTGTTCAGTCAGAATCTGAGCCTGTGGGGCTTTTTTTTGTGTGAATTAAGGCACAAAGCGTGCCGCGCACAGCGTGCCTACACTAAAACAGGGCCCTGAATGTATCTTGGACATAGCGTATCTACAAATGTTTGAGAGGTAATGATGCTCAAGGCAACTTTTTTGAGGCAACGCAAGTTACGCCCATGTGTTCCTGATAATAAACACGTGCCTGAAAGGGAGTGTTGTACTTGTTGCCAGGTGGCATTTGCCCTACACTGTGCGGTGTTAAAGACCTGCGTGATCATTTTTGGGCGCTTTATTGCTTGTAAAAAATTGCCCCGTGCCTCAGGTTCTTCAGACTCCAGTTTGAAAACAAATGTCACCAAGAAACGAATTAAAACCATATTCATGCTCTTGTCGTAGAAAGCAGCTCCACAATACATTTTGACTTCCACTTGTAAGAACACATTTACATACACATTTACATACGCTTGTGCATCATCCGCTCACGACAACGCGTAAATTAGCTGCGACCGTACCGAAGCATCCAGCTCTTTTATGAGGCAAGATTTATGAGGCATCGTTTCCATTGAAAGATACATTTTCTTCTCTAAAAAGAACCAAAAAAAACAATCCAGGCTCAGAGAGGGAGTGAAAGAGAAAAGCAAAAAAATAAAAAATTCAAAACCAGACAACCAAAAGACAGAGCTGGCTCTGGCAAAGTCCCAGAATTCCTTGGGGACTGCAGTGTGGCATGTAAACTGGAACGAAGAGCGGGAGGAAGAGTAAGACTGCAGAGGAGACGTTGAGCATCCTCCAGACAGCTCGCGCAATAATAGATGGTAAGTGTGCATGGCTTGGTGTCACACACAAGCATAATAACAGCCACCTCACATGCGCCCACACGCAGTCACAAACCCACATAAAACCGTGGATGCAGACACACGCGCAGCCGCACATCAGATTTCAGCTTGTCATAGAGTAAGTGGCAAAAAGCGCAATTAGTGCGGCTTTAGAGAGCGGTGCTAAATTATGACATTGCTTTGTGAAATATGAGTTCACCTCAGCTCTACAGAGCATTTTTGTGTCTCTCAGCCCGCTGTTTTGATTTTACAGCCCACAAGTTTACTATTTTGGTCCGGTATCCCGGCACTCAACAACCTTGTTTCCAGTCACAGACGGGCAAAGTTAGCTGGTGAACACAGTGAAGCCAGATGTTTCAACATGTTCTCCCCTGGTCAGTGGCCCTGCGTTTCAAACTAGGAGGCTCTACAAATGAATGTCAGTTTTGGATGTGTCAGGGACGGCGCCTCACATTCCGCTCGTTACATGCATAGTGTGTCTTTCCAAAAAATACTTCCAACATAGGTTTACTTCGTTTTTAAGTATAGTAAAGCAACAGGAGTACTTGGTTAGGTTTAGGAAAAGAGCATGGTTTGGTTTAAAATAAGTATACGTTTGTTACAGGAAAGAAACTACACTTATAGCTTGTCAATGTCGACTTTGGTTTCACACGGGACACAAACAGCGGTCTCCTTGGTGAAAGTTCCGTGCTTGTTTGACCTGTTCAACCTCCCGTCCCACCCGCACTGCACAGTCTATTGTGTACTGCATCAGTTCCTCGTACCGTCTAAAAAGGACGCGGATGGGTTTACAATGACGTTTGTTGAAAGCCTGGTGCGTCTCATGCAGACACTAAAGGGTTTGCATCAGTTGGCACTGACCAAGCTGTGATATTTGACTAATTGTGGGAGAACAGGTTTGATATTTTCCTCAGGAGCTGGTGGAGACTAAAGAGCTTAAAGAGAGTGAATATCAGAATGTTAGAAACACAACTCGGTCTGCTGAATGTGCTGAGCAACTGTTTGCTAAGAACTTTGTCCGATCAACTTAAGGCGATAATGGGTTCATGTTGAGTCTACAGCTTGAGCTGCTGCCACCGAGTGGCCAACAAGAAATCAGCGAATGGAGCTTTTAAGATCTAGTGTAGCAAGGTCAGCCTTGTTGCCAATTCTTCCCTGTGGCGCCATTAAAGAGGCATCTTTAAACTACCACGAGCCACACACAAGGATGTGCTGCAGGAGCAAGTTACAGGCAAATAAACTCGTCATTTTGCCAGACCTTATCTACTCAAAATACATCCATGACATAAAAATAAAAGATGATTTTCATCTCTCCCCGTACACACACACACACACACACACACACACTCAGTGGTTCAAGTAGGCTGATCAGTGTTGAATGGAGAGGGCAAGAGTCCCAAACCAGCAGTGCTGTTTACAGACAAAATGATCTCGGTGTTCTCTCCCAGCTTTTGTTAATGTTGCCAGATAGAGCTGTGACTGATCGACTGCATTTCTTGCACCAGGTCTGCTCATGGCTCTGCGTACAAACAACACAAAGGGTGTGTTGTGTGTTGTGTGTGAGTGTGTGTGCACGGGTACATGTGTGAGTGGCTTATACCTGACGCACTCATTGGATGCACACAACACTGCACCAGAAATAGCCATGCCTCAACTGGCACCTCATCTGAGCTCCAGCGGCTTCAGTGCTCCCTCACAGCAACAGAAGTCTGACTCTGTTAACGAGGTCTGACCAGATGGTGCAGACCAGACACGTGTATGAAACGGGGCATGACAGGTAAAAACATGCGTCTATCTGTGTGTGTGTGTGTGTGTGTGTGTGTGTGTGTGTAAGAAACAAGGCTTGTACTGCGGGTCAGAGACAGCTCCCTCTTCCTGTATGTCTCTGACTTATCTGCAGTCTTTTTCTCTCTCCCCTCTCTGTATCCATGACTCTTGATCATATGACTCTTTTGAAATAGAGTTTCCTGTATTGAGAGACATAATTGGTCAATTCAGTTTGTCATGCAACTGCAACAATTATTCAGTTATTAAAAACTGTTTGAATGTAGCGGATGAATGTCGTCTCTAAACGATGCCCCGTGCATCTCTGCTCTTTCTTGCGCAACTTTTAGTGAAAGCACACCCAAGTGCTTTGACTACTTTAGTTGCAAAAAATGCCTTTCATACGATAAATAGATTAAATTTGAAGTTTTACACTGTAGTGTGTCAATAAAACTTTTCTAATTAAGCAGGAACCCATCATTTTTTCGGCTGTACCGCCATCTGGGACCAAGCCACGTGGACTCCCGAGTTACAGTATATTCTTAATATTCTGATTGGAGAAGCTGATTGCAAAACTGCTACCGACAGAGGCTGCTTGCCACATGGTAACACAATACACTGGGTAATTCCTTTGTTTTATGCCCAACCTCGCCTGCTGTCCATAAGTCACTGAATCTGTCACAAAACATTCTGCGCTGCCGCTCCCTCTGTCACCTTTCATCCCCAACTCTCGTACGCAAAGCCTGACCTCAGCCAAAACAAACTAAATCTCCACCAAAAGTCTTTAGAGTATCAGTTGCTCACCCACTGTACACTTTTGGAAATAAACTACAACCATGACGGGTTCTTCGGTTTGTCCCTCGGAGAACCCTTTTTGGTTCCTGGTAGAACCTTTTGTGAAAGGTTTCGGGCTGGAATCCTTTCATAGGGTTCTACCTAGAAGTCAACATAAGGGTTATGTGTGACGGACCGTTTGAGCCTTGCGGATTGATTGGGATTGATTGCTGCGGAGCTAGTAGAGGCGGATAGATGGGTAGCTGAGCGAGGTGCCGGCGAGTTGGACCACAGTCAGCTAGGAACAAAGGAAACACAGTGACTGTGGTCAACGTAAGCCGACGCTTCGCTCGTTGTAGAAAAATGGCCGTTCTTCTGACAAGCGGTTGCTCGAGATGCAAGCGGTGTGAACGCATGTTTAAGGGACACCGTTGTCGACACTGCGCTAGCGCTTGCTAGCAGTGCTAACTTTCACACGTATGCAACAAAAATAGAAGAAGATGAACCGAAACATTCACAAAGCTATAGAACATCACTGTCTAAAACTCAGCTGTTGTTTCTAAGGTCGTACAAAAGTGTCCGAGCTCACTGTTGCAGCAGCAGCGCAGAGCGACGCTGCTGCAAAAAAAAAGAGTTACAGATATGGCCCTATCTTCCTTTAATGTCCAGAAAAGTACCCTGCTTTTATTCTGAAAAATGCTCAACAGGTCAAAGGCGTGTTGTTTCTCCAGACACCATGTGTGCGTCTGTTTTCTTTGCTCGTGTTCTTCTTGCTCTGATTTCCCCAGCGTAGATAAGCTGTCCGTTTTCTGTCCTTGCCAGTCACAGCAGCCGGCTGGAACGTCCTTTCATCTTGTGTTCATCCAGCTCCATCACAAACTGTCTCTGCACTTGAAGATGCTTATTGAACGTCAAAAAGTTTTCTTAAATCCCAGCGTGCACGAGGAATCCACATAACAGTAGAAAAATCGAAGCACGATCCGCGTGATCCATTTCATCTGTGTTTAATGCACGCACATGGATAAAACATCAATGCCGGTTTGGGCTCCCACGTGTGTGTCACACCGTTTCCGGTAAGCAGAGGGCTTCCAAAGCGTTACTGGGTCCCTGGGCCACTCCGCCGATGACAAAGAGCATGTTGGCTGCCTGCAGGATGGCAGAGGAGCAGCGCGCGGTGGGCATGGGCGCCACGAACTCCCAGCGCCGCTTCACCGGGTTGTAGCTCTCCACCGTGCCCAACGGCGTCGGTTCATTACCTGCCAAGTGAAAAAGGAACACGTTAGGATGAAAGCAATTATGTTTCACATGCAGCATCAGCCGGGACTTTCATTCAGGTTGGACAACAGTTGCAAACAGACAAATATTCATGTAATTGAATCTCCTGTCTGAACGAGACAAAAGGCATCTTAAGCAAACAGAGTTTAGATCTGAAGTGAGTTATTAAATTTGAATAGATTTTGATTATTACTGATTACTGCTGACATTCTAAAACAGGGCAAGTCAGACAACACCTAACACATTCGTATAAATTAGGTTAAATAAATCAGAGCTATGATTTTGATGGTGTTAAAACATTCAATATTAATTTGGTTCCAGTTGCTCAGAAGATTCAAATCTTAATCTTATACGTATTCATGACATGTCTCATCCGTGACTGACCCCTCACACGGCTCACCTCCGGGTGTGACACACACTTGGACTGCACTGAGAGCTAATACAAACACGTGCACACACAAATGTAAAGACATTAAATCCAAGGTAACACCACCTACAGCAATGTGATGGAGAATCCCCATGACTCCATCACCCCCCGGAGTCGTAAACACACTAAAATAGTCTCGGACTAATAATAATACAATAATCGGCCTTTTCCTGAAAGAGCTTTTGTCTGCAGCTTTAGAGAAGGGGGTGTGAATATTGGACTGGCATTCAATGGAAAGAATCAGGACTCTAGAGGAATGTTGTCTGCTGGATGTATAAATAAGCAACTGTTTGCCAAGATGTTCGCCACAACATTTATACGGTGATAATATATCAATGTGCTCGATTAATGCAGGTTTGAATATGAATGCCTCCGCTAACCAGTCATGTTGCAGTTTACATCCCTTTGTAGCAATTATTATCTTCTATATGTTCCACAGTCAGGACTTTTGAGTTTCCTTATTTGGAATTCTTGCCTGTGACTTATTGTAAACTTAACTACCTGCTAACTCACAGGTCTACCAAAGCCAAAATGTCTGTTAAAGAAAAAAAGCTGTATTTTTATTAAAACCCTCCTGGTTATTTAGAGAAGATTACTTTAAAAGCTGCCAATGTACTGTGGCTGAAGGTTCAACTACTGTTCTTTCACATAGTTTAGAAATGCAAAGTAGCAGCAGCAGTTTTGAAAGCGTATTTAAGAGTGTAGCAGTAATATTATCTATGTTCAGTCTCTCTCCTCTCTCTCCCCTCCCCCTCCCTCTCACCTCAGGTGCAACCGCTGTCATTATGCATCAGCTGGCGCTAAGTTGTTGCCGTCGCCATGGACACCCACATCACAGCGAGTCCTCGAGTGAATGGGCTGGTGAGTGTGTGGTGTTTGGCGTGTGTGTCCGAGGAAGGCTATTATCATTGTTTTGTTGGAAGAACAGAGGGCGGCGCCGAGTCGGCCTTTTCAAAGCAATCTGGGCCTGCTCACGCTAACACGCCCACACACACACAAACACAGACACACACACACACACAAACACACACAGACACACACACACACACACACACACACAGAAACATACTGCGTGCTGCTCTTGGATCTCAAAGGCTTCCTGTCGTTGCTTTGATTCACAGCCGACAGACGTCATGTCAATTCGCCGGCCGCTCCTCTTGTCCTCTGTTCTGCTCCCTCTCTCCTCCTGACCTCCATTCCTCCTGTCCTCTTTACTTCCATTACTTCTTCCTGTAATCCCTTTTGGCTCTTCTTGCCTGTCTCTGATAAAGCTCACTCTTTCCTGTCTTTTCTTTATTTAATTGCTCATCTTCCTTATTTCTTCTCTTCTTCTCTTTAAGTCCTTTCTCAGAAACATCTACTTTTTCTTAACACTCGACTCATCCGTCCTCCTCATGCTCTGTTCAGCCCAACTCCTCTTTCACGATGTGCGCCTTCTAACCACTTACTAAATCTCCATTAGCTTCATGCTAACGTTTAGCTTTAACACTGTTGGATTTCACCAGTCGTTCAAGGAGTGATTTTTATTTATAAATTGATGTAATTCACTTTTAAATTAAAGACACGATCCTTCGATGTGCCTCATGTTTTTACTCCTGACATCCAAACTGATCTAGAGGCCTGCTCGTATCAGTGAAACGGTAAAGCTGGGAACAAACTTTAAGATAATTGAAAGCTAGAGTACGAGACACCCCACACAAAAACAGACAGATTTTCCATTCTGTTTTTCACACATGTAGACATGTAGATATGTAGGTGATTAGGGTCACAAAGTTAGGAATCGCTTAAGAAATACAAAAAGTCCCAAACAAGAATTCATCTCTTGCATCCTGTAATTCTTTTGGCAGTTTCAGCTCCAATATCATTTTCATCCTCTACTGTTTCCGTCTCTATTCTTCAGTGTTTCCCTTTCCGAAGCTCACAGGTGTTTATGTTTCTGTCTCTTCTGTTCGCCTCCCTGAGACTTCCCGTTGCGTCTGTTTTCAGACAGCGAGACAATAGCACAGCACAACAAACCTGCAGAGGAGCTTGTGGTAATGTTTGAAATGCAAACGGCATCATTTACAGCACTTATCATATTTTAGCAGGTAATTCTCAGCACTCGTCCGTGATCTTCTGACTTGCTGTTCTCCGTAACTAATGTTTGTGTAGCAGAAGCAAGAGACGTTTTCAGGGGACAAATAGCAGCTCAACATGGCCACCATGACTCATCACCACATGGGCGAGCTTGTACACCCTGGCAAGAGACACAGTGAGACGAAAAAGTTGCCGAAAATGGATAGAAGATATGCATGGTATACTGATTTGATAACATGGAGTCTTCAGCTTTCAGAATCCGTAAACCAATTGTGTGTTGTCCAACCTATCTCCTATTACCAAGCATTTCAATAAGAAAGTTGTACAGATTTAGCCTTTGTAAATACGTATACGAGTAGGTGGTGTTCAAAAGATCCGGTGTATATATTTTGGCAGTTTACAGAAACATGCTCGGTAGTGCTGTAATCTAGAAATGCCGAGCTGTCTAATGCATCTGAACAAACCTTACATGGAAACACACAGCGGCCTGTCAACGGGGAAACAAAGCAGTCAAACTTCACATTTGACCATCACACTGACATGAGTCTATGTTCCTGTCAAAAATATTTAACCAAGGGCGATGTTGTCTTTGACACAACGGGAGATTTAGCTCCCTAAATGTTTGCAGCAGTGATAAACATCCAGAGAGTCACAGAGATTGTCACGGAGAGACGGACTCTGACTGCAATTCTGCTCCAAGTGAATATAGATTCAGACCCCAGATGGCGACAGACAGCATCATTGTAATCCCCTGAGCCAGAGGGTTCCAATGAGATCTATTCCAGCACGATGGGTCTTTGCATTCTCCATTTATTCGCCTTATGGCAAGGAGCTCTTTGGTGATATGTGAATATTGATCAATACTCATTGTGTTTATTACCATTTCAATGTTTTCGGTCGATTTATGGTATTTGTAACATGGTTATATGGATGTAAATAGTGTTGTGAAGTAAAACAAGTAAGCAGTCAACATGTAAGGAGTAAACATGGCCAAAACATAGAGAGCGCCTGAGAATATCTTTGAAAAGTCTGTTTTAAATGTGGGATTTGAGTGTATTCTCAGCAAATGTATAACAGTTAAAGTCAACGAGTAGGAGAAGACATTCAGTTGCATCATTATCTCTATATATTTGTTGTAATAGTGATATTGCCTTTGAAATTTAGATGTGATACTACGCGAAGAAAAACATCTTATTTTTTTCCTTTATTGCATCTCCACTGTCTCTAGAATGGTAATAGAAATATGTCTACCACAGTCCTTAGCCTCTTAATATTCAAATGAGACTTGAAATATGCATTGGGCCTCATGTTGTGGAGTTATTCCTGCTTCATTTTGGATATGCTATATTATGCGTTTTGTCCTGATGGATAGGGCTAAGGGTGAACAGTTAGCATCCTATAGTATACCTGAAAAGATCTTCTAAAGAGAGGCGGAAACCAGCAATGTATGAAAACAACCTTACTACCAATACTGCACCTCCATGGCTAGTGAAGTGGAATGTTGTCCTCCTTTGCTCTCCGTGTCTACCTGATAGTTTGTGTGTTTTTCAAATGGCCATTTAGTTTCAATAGCAGACCAACTGTTCCTCTACGCAGGAGAGGAGTGGAGATCATGTTGCCCTGTTCTCAATCCCCGTCTATAATTGTAGCTCGGGGGGAGAATAATCAGTGACGTATTTGCTCATAAAAACTCATAATGACAATCACTCAAGCTCGGGATTCATATTTTATCTTACCCATATCTACCTCCTAAATGGCACTAAATGTTGCTCGCTAAAAGTTTCTCCTTCATAAAGCTGCTAAGAGCAGTTTTTTTTACCGTGAAACTGAGAGAGATGATAAACTGATAGGAAGGGAGGGGTTGACGTCGTTATGGATGACATCATGTTTTATGAATTGACTTTCTCACTATGTCTACAGTGACTCAATATGGGGTCCACCTAGTTTGGACTCGTTTCCTTGGGAGGTTGCACTCGGCAAGCTAAAGTCGAGAGGACGGGAGTACTCAGCTTCATCAAGCAAACTGTGCAGTCTGATGCTGTCAACAATCTCTCATGTATTTTACAATATACAGCACACTGTTATTTATATATAGTTACTAACCTTTATTCAAATGTAGTGATACCTGGATATATAAGGATGCAAAAAGAAGTGTTGTAGTCAGGACCACCGAAACGAAGACCAAGTCATGACCGAGATCACAGTGTATCGAGACCGAGACAAGACCAAGACTTTGAAAAATGACACTAAATCAAGTTTAAGACCAAGACCAAGTTGAGACCTTGTCAAGACCAAAAACAGACCGGTACGAGTAAAAATGTGATCAATTTGAAACGACCGGCCAGTCATTTCCAGAAACATGGAATAACAAAAAATATAAAAGACTGGCTCAAAATTCCCGCCATTGCTGTTGTTGGACACAAAATGCATCCTGAATTCTTGGCTACAGTTTCACAGGAGTTAACTCACAGTGTTCTCAAGTAAACAAAAGAAATGCGCAGATATGTCCAAACCGTCATCTACATTGTTATTGGATCTATTGGTGAGCTAGACCCGAAGTAACCTTACCAGCCATCAACATGTCTATAGTTGTATCAACTGGTTTTATTGTTTCATCTGTTTGACTGTTTATTCAGGGTTTCAATTTGACTTGCTTTTGTTGGGTCTCACTGTTGTTATGTTACCTTGCTTTTGCCTTGCTTTGTCTAAACACTGTGGTCGAGGTGAGTTCAGAGTCCTCTGAATTGCCGCTAACCTCTCTCAGACCAAGGAGCTCGTTTTAGTTCTGAAATGTTTTGAGAATTACTCCAGAGTCTTAAAGATAAGACTGACACGCCCCCTTACTTTCAAAAGTTCTTCCTCGCTCAATGAACCACCATGTAGTTCATTCCAAACTAACATTCAAATATTGTTTCATAATGTCATGTGTGAACGTTGCCATGGCACTTTGCATTGACACAAAATGGCAAAATTACACAGAAGTTAGTCGCAGACACGGATATATCAACATGTACCTTCAGATTTTTCAGTTCAAGCCACATTATGAATCATTACACGTCTCTGACATTGTGTTATTTCTGGCTTGCGGTTTAGGCGGCTATACAAATATAATCCAGTGTAATAGGCTTAAAGAGATGTCAAAGATGATGATGGTAATGCACATTCAAAAGGTTGAGAGGCGCAGATGAAGCAAATATAAAGTATATGTTAGTGCTGTATTTGGTACGCAAATGCCTGTCTGTGTGTGTGTGTGTGTGTGTGTGTGTGTGTGTGTGTGTGTGCACATTTCTGGCAAAGATGAAATGATATGGCTGAGTACATAATTGCACCTCAAATCTTCCTTCTCTGACGAGTTGCATCTAATTGCAATTAACATGTGGATGTCAAGTTGTCGGGCGCTCATCGTGAGCTATACAGACACGGTGGGGGTGCACAGATATCGGGGCAGTGCAGCAGAGATGGACTGATACAGGGTGCGTAAGTGTCTCTAATAAACACAAACACGCAGAAATGAACATGGACACAAATTGAGAATCACTGAGTAGCTTTTTCCATGTGTGTGACATTTTTTTTGAATGGTTTCAATAGTTTGTTTTTTACATTTTCAACTCACATACTCGAGCACAGAAGAGCTATAAAAGCCATACTAATATGGCATCTGCTTGTCTTTCCTATGATACCTTTAGAATTTGTTATGTCATGTGCAGTATTAGCTACCAAAAAAAAAAAAAGGCGTTCATAAAAGAAAAGTACCTTGGATTATTTTTTTCTTTATATCTTTTCAGATCTGAGAACTAACTGTAACAGAATTCAACTTTACCATTGACCATCACTTGTCAGGCCAGAAAGTTGTTGCCCGGATTAGCGCTAACAGTTAGAATGAGCTTAGCAACAATAAGTTAGTCAGGCCGGCATGTTTGGTTGTACCTGTTTGTTTGATGCGAGAGAGAGAGCTGCGGCGAATGTGTGTGAGCGAACAGGTTGAAGCGAGTTAGCTTAGCGGTGAGGATTTCAAGTGAAGGTAGAAGGTAGGTGCATGTTTCTGCAAGCAGCCTATTCATTTATGTTTCAGCCATTCATTGGTAGAATATTAATGCCTCAAGAAATGTGGCTCCCTCTAGACGATCCTTGGCCACTCCTGCTGCTGCTCTTTAAAATGCTGCTTTTCAATCAAGTTAATTTATACACATATAATACGTATATATGTAAAACTTATGCAAGGACTACTTCATCCTACCCTGGACTGTATACATTTATTTATGTGCACACACATACAGTATAACTGCATTATAGATGCACTTTGTGAATGTATTTTCCTCTTTCATTTCCCAAAGGCAGAGGGTTGGAAATGTCCTATTAACCAGCTATGACTCACAGGCCCGAAATATCCCCACGGATTACATGGTGAGCCGGACGCACAGCTGACACTCACAAAGAAACATATCTCCCTCTTTTCCTCTCACACTCCCAAGCTGTCATTTTCACTTTAGGAAACATAGGGGCACGCACACACACACGCACGCACGCACGCACGCACGCACGCACGCACACCACTCTTGTATCTCATTCGATCCTCTTCCCTTTCTCTCTCTCTTGTCGGCTGCTACATTTCTAATTGTCCCTCTCAGCAGGACAAGACTGACGTGTTCCTCTCTTTCTCTCTTACACACCGTCTAAACAGATGTCTCTCATATTATTGTCTGTCACTCTGAGCTGTGGACAGAGAAAAACAAAACTGCCAAACTGAATTACAGCTACATGGGAATTTGTGAATAAACTATCCAAGGAATAAGGCTTTAAATCAATAAATAACTATGTAAAGGCGTAGCATCTTTAAGCATCTGTACAACACTTGTAATGCAACAGAATGCACCTTTAATAAAGCCTTCACTGCTTAAAATCTCAGAAATGGTCACACAGCAAAATACAGCACGTATCGGCTTTGATAGTAAAACCATTCCTATTCATTCTGTTGTTCATCTAGCTCTCTGCGCATCGCACACGAACAGTGCGCATACTGTTTGTGTGCAATGTGCAGAGAGACATTCTTGCAGGAATACAAGATGCTTTTAAATCTGCTAATAGAGTTCCTTTCATAACTACCACACAAGTTTAATGTATATATATATATATATATATATATACATATATATATATATATATACAGTATATACACCCTGTAATGTGTGTAATCTGCTGATGCATGCAATGTAAATCAATATCTTCTTAACAAGCATGTCTGCGAGGACAAACGCTGACGTTTGATTCATTGGTAGCATTGCTCAGTCTCTCTTCACACTATATTCAAATTAACAAATGCAGCTCGGTCAAGCAGAAAATAGAAAGTTAATGGATAATTAATTTGGTTGTGTGTGTGTGTGTGTGTGAGCATGTGTATGGTGTCTGTGATGAATCACAGTTGCGGTGTTTGATTTGCTGTAAGCAGTAAAGTCTGCAATGACAACTTCACTGATTGTAAGTGGTGAGGCCTTTTATTATCAGATGAAGCAACTGTGTTCATTAAATATCTTAACTGAACAGTAATAGTAACGTTAGTAATTACTATATGAATTCAGCAGAAACACGTTACTAGGTAGTTATTTTCAAGGCTCTGCTTTGTGTCGTCATTTCACACATGAAGATCAGTGGATTTGTCGTGAGGACGACTCAGCCTGTGAAAACATTTGCATAATGTCTTCTCTGAATTCAGAGGGTGTGTTCTACAGTCAGAATATAACCTTTGCATAGCCTTGGAGACAACACATTTTGAGTATGGGGTATGATGGAGGTAAGATGACTGATGGACTGCTGTGACCTGCAAGGCAAAGATCACACGACCCTGAGCTAGCACTACCACTAGTTAGCTAATCTACTAGTTTACAAGTTAATACCTGGTCATCAACTATTTACGAAGTAAGTTCTTATTTGAAAAAAAATGGTACAATAGACATACCTTTCTAAGAAATTGAAAATTGACAATGATGTTTTGGTTGTCTTATTAAAATGGCATTGAGGTGTGTCTGCCTCATCAGCTGATATTATTGTAGAAGTTCTAAACAGAGGAAGTCTTAAGCTGTCCTAAAAGTCTAAAGAGAATTAACAGATAGTAGAGTCGTGAAGATTTTGAGGGGGATCCTGAAATACGGTTAGCAGCCGCGACATCAACGCTGGATTTGTTTTCACCTCGTGTGTGTCGCTGTGGCAAAATGTGGTCTCTGAGGCTCCTACTGTATCTGGAACTACCACAGATGCTTTTGAGGTGTTTATATGTCTGTCTGTGCACAGGTTTTGTCACAACGTTAGCGACACAACCGTGCAAGATGCAGTCACAAAGCTTTAAGGCCGAGGTCAAAGACAGGTGTGGTCTGAGCAAGGGCACCGGAAGTTTTGATATTAAAAAAGACAATTCAAATTAGTAGAGGTGAAAAAACAGTATTTTTGCTTCCTCACCGTTTCCCCTCTTCTACTGACAATAGCTGGGATGAAATGCTATAGAAAACTAGCCTGCTGACTTCTTCGTCAGTCAGCCACGTGACCCTCGCCCTGCAGGTCGTAGCGGCCTGTCAAGAGGCTCCCAATGAAAGACGCTATTGAGTTGAGGAATGGGAAAAGCAGAATCCAGCCTTTTTGGAGCTTGTCAATACTACAGATTAAACATCAGGATTTCTACTCTGCTACATTGAGTTGCTTACCTCCAGAGTAGAAGAGAACAAACAGGGAAAGAAAAATTGAACAATCAGTGTAATTCTAGAACTTTTTCCTTGAAATCACACACTGCAGTCAGAAAGCATCAGGCACATTGTTGTGCTCATGCTGAGGTGAAACACTTAACCTGATCAGATTACTCCAATACATCACATACCCCATTGTAAGGTTTGGCCATTAACAGACAAAAGGTACTGCAACATTGGAAATCAATCACAGGATGACCTGCTCCGTTGTTCCGTCTCTCTTCCCTTTCTTTCCTTTGTGGGTCAAAGCACAGCGCTGGATCAAATTGACAGAAAAGAACACACGGACCAAGCTAAAGGAAAGGGAGGTGCTGACCTAGACCACCGGCTGCAATCACCCTTCCTCCCAGGCATCCTGCCACAAAGTCGGCCCTCTTCTCCCTCATCCTGGACGTTCGGCTGGGTTTGATCCAGATACCTGCCAGAGGTGAGAGGACACGAGTCACTGTCAGTCATCATGGTCCACAACAGAAAACGGGAAGTGCCCCCATTGACAAAGTATTTTAAAGAAGAACACAAAAACAGCCAAAAAAGCATGTTGACACCCAAACATTACACCCAGATAGAATTGTTAAACATTGAATTTCAATAACCAAATGGTTGGCCTGGAACCTGGCTGCAGGGATTTTTCTCCCGTTCAGCCACAAGAGGGTTCATGAGATCCAGCGCTGATGCCGGGTGATCAGGGCCGGCTCAGAGTCGGTGCTCCAGTTCATCTCAAAGGTGTTTTGGATGTGGCCGAGGTCAGAGAGCTTTTTTTTTTTCCTTTTAAAAGTATTCATTCGTTTCAAGTTTAACTTTTGGCTGAAATTATTATTTTTACAAAAGAAGCTGAATCTAACAAGAACAATATCAAACAGTGATTCCAAAAATGTGAAATAATACGTTCATGAGAAACATGAATAATAATAACAATAAAAAATAAGGCAAAAAATACATAATGAAAAAATTTCCCCTTTACAAGAGGTATAGCTATTGTGTCATTGTGTGTTTCTCTTTAATGGAACCAAGTCTGTTATGTGTTCGGTCGTGTGTGTGACTGTGTGAGTCCGTGTGTCCACGACTGAGTGAGTGCGCACCTCTGTGTCTGTCCACAGCTAATCTCGCATTCTGCTGCAGCAAACTGCATCATGATATGGGTGCATCCTCATGGACCTCTCGTGGTTGTGGGGACTCACACTTTCTTAAAAACATCTTTGATTACCCGTTTTATACTGCCATTGACTGCCTGCTGACTTTTCACTCACTACTCTTAACCTCGTCTCTATGGCTCCCAGAATATGAAGGGTTAACAATCCTTGCTTTGCCTGTATTAGTCTTTGTTTTTGTACACCACCTAAAACAACATGAAATGAATAGGCAACAAATAACGGAGAAGGTCACTGCACAGAGAGAGAAAAAATAAATACTTTTTCTATTTTTTTGCCTGCAAAAGGCAGAAATATGTCTTTGGCTTTGTGTGCAAACCTAAAAAGTGTGCAGTAAAACACATCATATCACATCCAGACATGAAATAGAGAAAAAAATGGAGTTCATCCTAGAGGGATCTGTATTTGACAGCACAACAAGGTCCGCCTCAGGACCTCCCTCACTCCCTCCTCCCCCTTTCTCTGGCTTGAACCCCACTACCCAACAGCAGATTCAATTTCTATATTTGGGACAGTGATAAGCAGTGACACATCCCATTTCGTACTCCTCCACGTCTCTGCTGCAGAGAGCATCGTCGAGGGACATGAGCTGCAAATTCAGGCAAATGCAACAAAATACAGCACAGAACAAGCAATAAAAAATGTGCTGCATGGACGTAATGCAAATGAATGCGGAATGCTACAAATGATCGGATGTTAAGTACCCATAAGTAGTAGTTTCCTTCCCTGCAATGCTGCAGCTGAAAAGTCTTAAATTGTAGTTTCTCACTCGTGGATGGAAAGCATGGATTTTGAAAGGTGATGATGGGCATTTCTCCCCCTCATTCCCAGTGGACATTAGGCCTGACAGGACTGAGCACTGTGGGAATGAACAGTTTTGATTTGATCTCTACAGTCTTCTTGTGCTGAGGCAGCTTTGCTGAAATGAGTCTTTATGTGTTTTTAATTAAAGACAAACAAGACAAATGTCTACAGGCATGCTGGCGGCTCTGAGGGGCTGTTCTTGTCCATTGAGCTAAATGTTAAAGTGCTACCCATAGACTGTATACAAGTGGACGTAGTCATCATGACGTCACCCATTGGTTTGTGGACTGATGTTTTGAAGCCATGTTGTTTTTTTGCAGCCAATGAGTGTAAGTTACTGTATTTGGACGGCGGAATAGTGACGTAGTCTTACATGCCGTGTTGTGCTTGTGCTCCGCCCACCCCCCCTCAGTGTCCTCTCGGGCGCAGGCCTTTCCCTGGATGCCAGCTGCCGGGTCATCGAACGCAGCTGCGCTCAATCACTGATTAGTGGTGAATAAGAAGCTGGGAGCTCCATAAGGACAACCCCTTGGGCCAAACCGCAGTAGTGGAGCTGTGTGTGTGTGTGTGTGTGTGTGTGTGTGTGTGTGTGTGTGAGCGAGCGAGCGAGCGAGCGTGTGTTTAAGCCGTGTGTGCTGTTCGTATATGGTCAAGTAGTGTCGCTTTCTGGTCATAACAAAGTAGTTCTCAGTTGCTGCCGTGTGAGCAGTTCATCTTTTGTAAATAAATATCTTTTGTTAACCCATCTGTTGCTCATGATTCTCTTTCCCCGGGAATTTTATATTGTTACTCCCCTCATCCCTTAGACCCTAAAAAGGGGAACGTAACGTAGAGACGGCGTATACGGCTCCAGTAGGGTAGCAACCTGTCAATCACAAGGTAGCCCCGCCCTAAAGCATACCCTGCTTTATGGTCTATTTGACTCTAAATGGACCATCATTCACTAAATGAACATCATGCTGTATTGAAGAAGACTTGAAACTAGAGATTGAGACCATAAACTCATGTTTACAATGTTTACTGAGGGAATAAATCAAGAGAGAAGTAGAGTCATTTTCTCATAGACTTCTATAGAATCAGACTTCTTTTGCAACCGAAGGAGTCGCCCCCTGGTGGCCAGTAGAGAGGATGCAAGTTTTAAGACACTTCCACGTTGGCTTCACTCTGCAGAACATGAGGTTGCCGCCTGGTGTTCATCCAATCAACCACGTATTTTTCTGAAAGTGGCTGCCTTTTTTCAAACAGTTTCCAATGGCGGCTTCTCAGATGGTTCAGTGTAACAAATCATCTGGCGGGTCGGGTAACAGGGGGTCACCACAGTGATCACAGTTCATCCTGAGGGAAACAAGAATAGAATGTAAAATATGTGAATAAAATGTCATGGCTGTTCATCCAATAGGCATTTCGCTCAAAATCACAAATTTCAATCTCATGGTGGCAATCCATCCTACGTGGCTTGAATGCACTTATTGGAAGTGGCTTTGGACAAAAACGGCAAAATGAATGTAATGTACTGTAAATGTACACTGTTTAAATCTGGACCAAACTGGTGGACCGGTGTTTAAGGAATCTCAATTGTATCAGAATTGTGTCGGATTGTGGTACAGCCACACATGCTGGAGTTCTATATTTACCCACTGATTCTCGCTCCAAACCTCACATACGGTCAGGAGCTCTGCAAAGGGACTGTAAAGCAAATAGAAATGGATAAACCCCAGCTCTTCAGGGGTTTTCTGAATCCCTCAGAGTCAAGATGATACTCCTGAACCTGAGAGTTGCAGGCTGACCCGGTCGCCTTCCTGTTGTGGTGTTACCGGAACAAACACCGAGGATGAATCCGGGAGGCACTTAAAGAAAATAGTGGAGGACATTGCTGGGGGGTAAAGCGCGGTCTGCTCTTTTCACCCTGCCACCATAGACTGGGATAAGCAGCATGATGGAGGTATTGATCAGTGGATAGATGGATGGGTGAACAAATGAATTGCCATTTGATGACACAATAAGCTTAGTTTCACATTGTCTCATAGGTGCAGGCCAGTAAATGGTCACCAGAGAGCAGTTATCTCACCTAACAGAGAGATGTTTGTTTGTAAGTGCACTTCTGCTGCAGCCAAGTCTCCCAGCGCTGGGCAACCAAACAGACTGGCAGTTTTCCTCTTTGCCCGAACCACTGAGCATGACAGAGGCCAGAGAGAAAGCTCATGAAGGGCCAGTACTTTGACAAAAATGTAGTTTTTGAAAGGCAGGTGCTGCTCTCTGAACTTGCATGCATACTGCTGATACTTTCCTGTTTACAACCATTTCTGAACCGCTGGTAAAAGTTGCCATGCATCACTACTCGAGAGAATTAATAAGAAACCACCACTTTGGAAGAAAAATTCTCATTTCTGTTAGTCAGCGATAATAATAAAGAAGCATAACAGGATACAAAGAATATGCTCTCGTAAAAAATGAAGGAATCAACCCGTTTACAAAGATGTTCAGAAACTAGAGACATTTAGCAGATTTGATTTCCTGCAAACAATGACAGGAGAGCATAGGAGAGGACACAAGAGGATAGAGGAGAGGAGAGGAGTAGAGAGGTCAGAAGAGAGGACATGCTAGGAGAAGACAGATGAGAGGAGAGGACAAAAGATGAGAGGACATGAAGCGGAAAGGAGAGCACAGGACAGTTGAGCAGAGGACAGAGGAGAGAAGAGAGGACAGGATAGAATGGGAGAGATGAGGAAAGGACACAGGAGAGGAGACAAGCGGATAGGATAGAACAGGAGAGGTGAGAAAAGGACACAGGAGAGGAGACAAGATGATAGGATAGAACAGGAGAGGTGATGAAAGGACACAGGAGAGGAGACAAGATGATAGGATAGAACAGGAGAGGCGAGGAAAGGACAGAGGAGAGGAGAGGCGTTTCTTTGAGATAACAGAAATGTGTTGCAGAGCTGCTGTAGTGCTGGCTGGAGGGAAAGTAGCTAAGCGGTAATCTCTGAGTAAGAGGACGTGAAGGCAGAGCCACCAGCAGCTCACTAACAGATATGCGGGCTGCAACACATCAGCTATTCAGCCGTGGAAAATGGAAAGGCCAGATAACATGCAAATATGGTGCAGATATACGGGAGGAGTTGAGCTTTCAAACAGGTATGCAAGCCTCCCCCCCCGGTGCCGTCTGCAGATAAATTTGCAGAAACAGCCATGACAGTGTTGTCGTCTGTGTTCAGTTCAGCCTCTGCACTTCTCTGATTGACTGATACGTGTGTGTGTGTTGTGTGTGTGTGTGTGTGTGTGTGTGTGTGTGTGTGTGTGTGTGTGTG